GGCCTCAAACTCACAGAGATTTGCCTGCCTCTGCCTCCCGAGTGCTGGGATCAAGGCGTGCGCCACCTTGCTCAGCTATTTATTATTTTTATTTTATGTGTGTGAGTATATCGCTTGCATGTAGGTAAGTGCACCTGTGTTGTACAATGCCCACAGTGATCAGAAGCAGGTGTCAGATCCCCTGGAACTAGAGTTACAGATAATTGTTAGCCCATGTATGTGGGTGCTAGGAATCAAACCCTGAGTTTCTACTCGATTTGACCTAAGTTTCCACTGTGTCTTGGCTAAACTGAGTGGCACTGATCATAAGCAAGACCAGCATGCACTGATCTGTGGCTGCCCTGCCTGGGAGAACAGGTAACATGAAGGGAGAAAGCAGGTGAATGTCTCTGGAACCTCCTAAAGGTGCTTTGCCTGGCAGAGCAGGATGCAGGGCCAGGACAGAGGGAGAGAAGTCGTCTTGATTCTAAGTGGAGGCCAGTGTATGTCGCCTCTGAGAAGCTCACCTGTAAGAACCAGAGGTTGACTTCCTCCAGCCCGGGGTGGGGACGGATGGACAGACATGAGGCAGATGCTACTCTATGTCCCTGGCTGGGTGAGGTGAAGGAAGACAGACACGGAACACTCTCCTCAGTCACAGATAAGGGGTCTGACAGAGAGTTAAAACACTGGCCAGTTGATCAGTTCCGTAGGGAAATAAGCCACGCAAACCTTCTTGGCAACACCACAGACTCACCTAACACTCAGCCCCCATTCTTACCTTGAGTGGGTGTCTGGGCAAACACCAGAGAGGAAATCAGGTTTCCCCACACTCCAGATGACTGGAATATGAGGAAGAAGATGCCAAAATACTGGTTCACCACATCCTTGCTGAGCTTCCCTGATTTCTGTGCTTCAGAATTTCCCATGATGGTGAGGTAGGTGCAGTGAGCTGACCATAGGGGAGCAGCACCCAGACCCAGGAGGATGGAGGTTGGGATCAGGGTGTACCTGCAAAAGGGCCCAAGAAGGGATCAGGATGCCCCCACACAGGGGCCCTGCAGGGTGGAGTGGAGATCAGAGTACACTGCCCAGGCCAGTGTGATCCCTTTGTTCCTGCCCTAGGCAGTGGAGGTTACAGGGGATGGGTCACTGGTGTCTTCCTGGCCACACTCGCCCTTGAGACTCATCTATATCAGATCCTCCCTGACACTGTTAAGGCCCTGAAAACACCAATGTGAGAGGGAAGCTGAGGGTCTAGGGTAGATCCCAAGGGGAGGTCAGCAATGGGATCAGCAGCAGGAGAGGAGGACCACCAGGAGGCAGGGAGGCTTGGACAGGAAGATGGAGAGGGCATCAACACTGTCCTTCCATGGGAGCTTGGAGGGGGCTGTTCCAACATGGTAGCAGGGGACAGTGGTCATCATGTGAGCGTAAGGCATGCACACTGAGGAGGGTCAGCTAGAGGGGCCGTACCAGCTGGCGTGGAAGCTGCCCAGGGAGAAGGCCACATAGCAGCACATGGAGCCGGCAATGGTCCACTTGCAGCCACACTTCTTGATGAGGATGGGCGGGAGGAACATGGAGGACAGTAGCACAGCGCTATAGAGCGTGCTCAGCGTTGCCACCCCCAAGCCATTCTGGCTGTAGAGGCTGCTCTGTGGAAGAAAGACCAGCCATCAGAGGAGGGGGACAGGTGAGGGGACAGGGTAGGTTGAGGAGACAAGGTGTCGGGGATAAGGTGTAGTTGAGTGCTGGCCTCAGGTTCAAGGTCTCCATAAGTCTTGAGTCACCAGACACCGGGCTTCTTACATGCGGATACCACAGGAAAGCCGAAGAGAGCCAGGGTCGGCCTTCAGCATCATGGAGGCAGCAGCAGGGCTGCTGGGGGCTCTGTGAGGTCTTCGGTACTCTCCCTGGCGCTGAGTGTGAAGGCATCCCTGGAGGAGCTACAGGGAAGACACTGGGAGCAGAGGCAGGACATGTGCATCCCAAAGCCCTGGGCTGCCTGGTGACCACACAGGTTCACCTTGCTTCTTCTTGTTGCTGTTCCACAGGAGGGGCCTGGCTGAACTCTGGTCTGAACCGATCCAGAGATAAAAATCCAAAGATAAAAACAGAGCCAGACAAGTGAAGACATAAGACAGTCATAAGGCCAAAGCAAGCTTTTGTGGTCAAAGAAAACAGGAAAACTGTTTCTTCCTCTTATTTTGCTTGGAAGAGAAAAGGAAAGGGAGGAGGAGGTGAAGAAGAGGATGAGGAAGAGGAGGCAGAGGGAGGAGGGGAGCAGGAGGAGGGGGAGAAGTGTGCGGAGGGGGTGGCAAAG